ACTCAGTATATAGGCAAAAAAACAACATCTCCTTCCAGGCGATTAACGATGCATAAGCAACAGGGCTCCATTGCATAAGCAATAGGGCTCCATTAAGGAACATATAATCTCTTCCCACAACCAGACCATCACCAGAGAAGTCTTAACAAAAAACACGAAAATCATCGATAGATACAGCGATAGCAGGCGGCTTGATATCTGTGAGGCACTGCACATTAAGAAGTCACCACCAGCAATCAACAGCCAATTAATGCACAACTAAATTCTACCCACTTCAAGTCTCCGCACCAATATAGAAGCATCAAGAAATATGGGCCAATAGGCCCTTTGCATTTACTTCCATTCTTCCCCTTTAAATTTACCCAATATTTCGTGTTCTATCTTGTGTTGAAAGTTTGTTTTCACCTCATCCAAAACTGTTGTAGCATATACCTCAGACAAATGCAGGTATATAAAATGAAAAGACGTTTGAATTATAACATAGTAGAACTCTGTTCAGTGTTTGCAGGTTATAGTTGTGTGTGTGTAAACTAAAGTCTTTGAAAATGTAATAAGTTATTACGAAACGCGTTCAAGTGTCGCGTCAGACTACAAATAAAAATGAATTTTGGAGAATTGATTTTTGATTTACCTCCAACAGTGAAAAGAAACATAAGAAAGATCGAGAAAATTCGTGTTAGAATTATTAATCTTACTTTTTCGGTCTATATATATATATATATATATATATATATATATATATATATATATATATATATATATATATATATATATATATATATATATATATATATATGTATACATATATATATATATATACATATATATATATAACTGAAAACTCACACCCCAGAAGTGACTCGAACCCATACTCCCAGAAGCAACGCATCTGGTATGTACAAGACGCCTTAATCCACTTGACCATCACGACCGGACATAATGAGGTGATAGCCGAGGCTATTTGAACCACCCCACCGCCGGCACTCGGATAGTTATCTTGGGCATAGCATTTTACCAAATCACCTCATTCTTTGGGGCAACACGTGAGGAACACAAATGCGAACAAGCCTGAATGGTCCCCAGGACATATGCAACTGAAAACTCACACCCCAGAAGTGACTCGAACCCATACTCCCAGAAGCAACGCATCTGGTATGTACAAGACGCCTTAATCCACTTGACCATCACGACCGGACATAATGAGGTGATAGCCGAGGCTATTTGAACCACCCCACCGCCGGCACTCGGATAGTTATCTTGGGCATAGCATTTTACCAAATCACCTCATTCTTTGGGGCAACACGTGAGGAACACAAATGCGAACAAGCCTGAATGGTCCCCAGGACATATGCAACTGAAAACTCACACCCCAGAAGTGACTCGAACCCATACTCCCAGAAGCAACGCATCTGGTATGTACAAGACGCCTTAATCCACTTGACCATCACGACCGGGTCGTGATGGTCAAGTGGATTAAGGCGTCTTGTACATACCAGATGCGTTGCTTCTGGGAGTATGGGTTCGAGTCACTTCTGGGGTGTGAGTTTTCAGTTGCATATGTCCTGGGGACCATTCAGGCTTGTTCGCATTTGTGTTCCTCACGTGTTGCCCCAAAGAATGAGGTGATTTGGTAAAATGCTATGCCCAAGATAACTATCCGAGTGCCGGCGGTGGGGTGGTTCAAATAGCCTCGGCTATCACCTCATTATGTCCGGTCGTGATGGTCAAGTGGATTAAGGCGTCTTGTACATACCAGATGCGTTGCTTCTGGGAGTATGGGTTCGAGTCACTTCTGGGGTGTGAGTTTTCAGTTGCATATGTCCTGGGGACCATTCAGGCTTGTTCGCATTTGTGTTCCTCACGTGTTGCCCCAAAGAATGAGGTGATTTGGTAAAATGCTATGCCCAAGATAACTATCCGAGTGCCGGCGGTGGGGTGGTTCAAATAGCCTCGGCTATCACCTCATTATGTCCGGTCGTGATGGTCAAGTGGATTAAGGCGTCTTGTACATACCAGATGCGTTGCTTCTGGGAGTATGGGTTCGAGTCACTTCTGGGGTGTGAGTTTTCAGTTGCATATGTCCTGGGGACCATTCAGGCTTGTTCGCATATATATATATATATATGTCGTACCTAGTAGCCAGAACAATCTTCTCAGCCTACTATGCAAGGCCCGATTTGCCTAATGAGCCAAGTTTTCATGAATTAATATATTTTCACTAATTTTTTTCTTATGAAATGATAAAGCTACCCCTTTCATTATGTATGAGGTCAATTTTTTGTTATTGGAATTAAAATTAACGTAGATATATGACCGAACCTAACCAACCCTACCTAACCTAACCTAACCTATCTCTATAGGTTAGGTTCGGTTAGGTAGCCGAAAAAGTTAGGTTAGGTAGTCGAAAAACAATTATTTCATGAAAACTTGGCTTATTAGGCAAATCGGGCCTTGCATAGTAGGCTGAGAAGATTGTTCTGGCTACTAGGTACGACATATATATATATATATATATATATATATATATATATATATATATATATATATATATATATATATTACTTTTTTATATAAGCTCCTCTTTGCATTCTTTAAGCACCCTGGCAAACACTTCATCCGGCCCTGGGGATTTGTTTGGTTTGAGTTTAACTATTTGTTTAATTACATCCTCCCTGGTAACTGCTAAACTAGTCAACCTGTCCGCGTCCCCACCCACATATACTTGTCCGGCTGAAGGCATATTGTTAAGTTCCTCTTTAGTAAATACAGATATAAAATATTTATTATAAATACTACTCATCTCTTCATCATTATGTTATTTGACCTGTCTCAGTTTTTAATGGACCTATCCTCTCCCTAATCTTTGTCCGGTATAACTGGAAAAACCCTTTAGGATTTGTCTTGGCTTGCTCTGCTATGCGAACTTCATAGTTTCTTTTTGCTTTCCTTATCTCTTTTTTTAGTATTTCTAACCAGTTGTACAAATTCCTGTTCTAAACTGACTTCCCCATTCTTAATCCTTTTATACCATGCTCTCTTTTTACCTATAAGGTTCTTCAGATCCTTTGTTATCCATTTTGGATCATTAGTATTCGATCTATTCAATTTATATGGTATACTACATTCCTGGGCTTCGCTTAGAATATTTTTAAATAGGTTATATTTTGAGTCCACATCGAAAACCCCTTTTACGTCACCTATCGCTGGGTTCACATCTAGCTCTAAGACTGGCCCACACCCCATACCCAAGACTTTCCAATCTATTTGACCCAATAAATTTCTTAGGTTATTGAAATTTGCTTTTCCAAAATCAGGTACTTAACAGAATTTTCTCCTACAGATCTATTCCATTCTATGCTAAATCTGATTTCTTTATGATCACTGTTCCCTAGCTCATTCCCTATTTCAATGTCCTTAATTTATGTTTCCCTGTTAGTTAACACTAAATCTAAAATATTATTTTCCCGCGTTGGTTCCTTAATGTGTTGCATAAGAAAGCAATCGTCAATTAATTCTAGAAAATCTTCTGCTTCATTATTCCCTGTTTTGTTCAACCAGTTTATTCCACTAAAATTAAAGTCACCTATAACATAAATACTGTTAGATCTAGATGCTCTAGATATTTCATCCCATAGATGCTTTGCTTCCATTCTGTCTAAATTTGGTGGCCTATATATAACTCCTATTATAATATTATTTGCTTTTTCGTTTAATTCTATGCAAATATTTTCTGTGTGTGGCTCAGACTTGATTCCCTCTTTGAGACTACATTTCAAATTGTCCCTAACGTATATGGCTACTCCCCCTCCTCGTCTAATATATCTATCTGTGTGAAATAGTTTAAATCCATTTATTTGATATTCAGCTAATAGTTCTCTATTTTCTACATTCATCCACGTTTCGGTAAGCGCGATAATATCTATTTTTTCTGTGCAGACAAGAGCATTTAATTCGTTTATTTTATTTCTTAGACTTCTACTGTTAGTGTAATATACCCTAAGTGAATTGTTATTTTGAGGCCCTTCAATTTCCCTGATCATTTTGCCAATTCCTTTCTCCCCCAAACACATACTTTTATTATCTCCTTCCTCCAAATCAATTCCCATACCACTATCTGCTAACAGTTTAAACCCAAACAAACACCTCTAACCACTGGTTCCAACGAGTTCGCAACAGCAACAACCCCAGCCCTCGATAGATGCACCCCATCCCGAGCATACATTTCATTTCTTCAACAGAAGTGTTCCCAGTTGTCTATGAAAGATATTGCATTAGATTTGCAATATCTTTCCAGCCTGCAATTGACACCAAGTGCCCTCGACATCCATTTATTTCCCACTCCCTTTCTTGGAAGAATGCCACATATGATCGGGATTCCTCCCTTGCTCCTAATTCTATTGCTGTCTTGAATCTAGATTTAGGAAAGACTTGGGAAAATACTGGTTCAGTAACAGGGTTGTTGATTTGTGGAACCAATTGCCACGTAACGTGGTGGAGGTGGGGTCCCTCGATTGTTTCAAGCGTGGTTTGGACATGTATATGACTGGGATTCTGTGGTTATAAATAGGAGCTGCCTCATATGGGCCAATAGGCCTTCTGCAGTTGCCTTTGTTCTTATGTTCTTATCATTATCAGGTGATGTGTGGGCACATGCTGATGGCTGTGCTGTGAGCTGCTGCTGCATGTGATGCTCATGGTCACCCTCTCAGTACTGAGGTTCTCACACATGGGACGGGTGCCCATGATTTTTTCATAGCTGGCATCTGTTTACTGTAAGGCTGAGGAAACAGATGTGGGCCCTGTTTACCCGAGAGGCTTTTAAATCTAATACAGTACAGTACTTTAAAACTTCCCCATTCATGTCACACAGGTTAAGCATAGATACTGACATCAATCCCACCCATGTCACACAGTGGAAGGGATAAGTAGCTGAGGACTGGCAATATTATTATATGTAAAAAGTAACAAAAACATGAAAATGGTAACAATAAAACAAGGTCTGGAGAACCTGCTTTATTTACTTAGTATAGGTGAACATGGCATAGCAATGCTGACTGATGCTGTAGATTATAATGCACCTGGAGAAGTTAATATGTATATGTAATAAACAGCCAGATGTATGTATCATGATTGTCTTCACTAGTTGCATCCCATAACCTAATTCTGGTTACAATTAAGAGATACTTCATTATCAGTGTCACACTGTAAGCACCCTGCCTGCCTTGTATCTGTCAACTGTCCTTTCACTAAAATCCACAGTATAAATGTCAAAACATGTTTCAGAAAACACATTTAAGACAGCTGGCATTTTGGCAAGCTACAATCATGAAGTTGAAGCTTTAACAACCCTTTGTAATATTCATATAAACAAAAAATGTTAAAGCACAAAATAATCATTTATTAAAAACAAGTCAGCAAAGAAGTGATGACTATGAAATTACAGTACTTAAATTGGGTACACATGAGGAGCAAGAGCTGTCTTTGAATTTTTTAATTTAGTATAATTTGTGCCATCTCACAATTTGGAGATTATATGTAAAATTAGACTAGGTTAGTTTCATATTCTACATATGACTCCATCCGAGCAAAATCCTGATCTGACAAAAACAGTGTAAATAATTAAGAAAGCTAAACAGCTCTTATTTGATCAGGAGCATCAAGTTACCTGATAGGTTACTAGGCAGATAAATTCTAGCTAATCAAATAGTCTAAAAAATTAAATAACTAAATACAGTTATAAAACTGACTTGCAACTCATGATGGCCAAAATTCAAGACCAACAAAAGTCATTAATGCATTTAAATAAATAAATTTTACTTCACGTAAGAACATGTGCAAATAATATACCCATCAGAGAAATCACAAGGATTAATATACAGTACATAACTACAGTAAAACTAATTATTATAATATCAGAAACAGAGAGAACCCAGCTAGATACATATTACAAAAACTTGACAAAGCAAGTGATGGTTGCAACCAATGATCAAAATCACTAACGAACACAGTCCTCTGCATGCAGATGTTTGTTGTAACAAATCGCAACATGTTTGCCTTCCTCAACATCCAGCAATAAGAAACATTAATTTAATCTTCACATGGCTGGGGTACCCAAGAATTTGAGGGTCAGAATGTAAGAAGTAAAATTACAGTACTTCTCTTTAACCTGTTGCCAGCTGAAGATTGTATTTGTGCCCAAACCTGAAACTCAGGCAAGCTAAAATTGTAGATTGAACTTGCTATTGATTATTACATCAGGATTTAAATGGTTTACAAATACAGTACATGGTACCTTGACAATGGTCACTGATAAATTTTGAGCATTTAAAAATAATGGTATTCATAAAAAAATTGCATAATTTACTCATAAAATAAAATAACCTTTATTTAATCAAAATTAAACAATACTGTGGAGCTCAAAATAAATATGCATTCATGAACTATACATATAAATGAGTATTAATAGAGAACTTTCTATTGTACTTTAACATGATTAATAAGCGTTTCTACCATGTTGTACATTCTCTCAATTATTATATAATTCTTTTGGCCTTTATATTACACTGACAACATGAATTTTATTTCTTTATATTATCTAACGCTTGTAAGTTAAAGCACTGCAAAAATCATAATGATTTGCAGTTTATGCAGATTATAGAGATTATTATAATATGCTATATATTTACTTGATTTACCCGAGTGCCACTAACCCTAGAGGCCTAGAGGAGGACAGAAAGCCGGTGACTTGTCAAAAGGCCTCCCCCCCCCCCCCATTTGCCATGATGATCTTTTCCCATGTAGATTTGAAAACTTAACACAGTTTTGGCATTTATGGCTTTGGTGGGTAGGTGGTTCTATGGGTTTGGAATTTCATGCCTATGGGTGAAAAAGCATGTTCTGTTCTCTGTCCTACATTAAGGCTTGTTGACCTTAAAATCGTTGCTCCTTGTTTGTGTTATATCTAACCTTTGACCTTTTGATTGTGTTACATCTATGTTACATCTGAGTAAATTCCTTCTGAAGAAATTTTCCAGATCAACATCCTCCAATATAATATACATATTATATATGTATAATATATAACATATATATAATATATAGCATATATAATATACTGTATACAGTAAAAATGTATGTATAAGAAGCTGAGCACCATAAAATACCAACTCAAAACCCACTTAATAATGTGCTTTAAGCATGAGATAACCGATGAAGATAGGGCCATGTATTGCAAGTAGCCACAACATTAATAAAATGAAGCACAAAAAAAGACAAATTGGGGCACCTTCAAAACATTAAAGACATAATCTCTCAGTGACCATCACTGTAAAATACAGTATTAGCAAAAAATGTTAAAAAAAAAGATTCACCATAAAAACTTTAAAGAATATACTATATTATGGTTTTATAAAGTGCAAAACTTTATAACTATGTAAACAGTATGGACATCATATTAGATTACAATGAGCATGCTTTGAATAAGCATTAACAACAAGCAATTTCTTCACAGCAGAATAAGTAATTATTTTACCATTTCCAGCTCTTAACACCAAAGATCTAAAACATATTTTCGGTTTATTACGGTACGAAAATACAAAACCAATATACAACACTTGAAAAGATATAAGCTTCTGATATTTAAATGAGAAATAAGATTTATCCATGATATATGAGTGAATACCTACAAAGAATGGTCTATATGCTGGATACCATACAAAGTTCATGAAAGATGGATAAAACTGCTTGCTTTTTTCTATTGCTAATATACCATGAAATATTTCCCCTACTTCACTGCCTCTATTATCTATTATTAAAGGAATAATCAAAGTTTTTGGAAAGATATGTTTTCTTTTCTTAGAATATATATACAATTTTCTTTGTTTTCCCTTTGTACGTCTTTTTACTCTGTCCAACAATTCTGCTATTTGAGTCTGATAATGTCTTCTCATTATACCTTGAAACACACTTAATCTATTCCTCAAGTTCTTTCTATTCAAAAGAAGGCAATAATGAAAATATCTTGAAGAGTACAACTCCACATTTAACCAAAAAGCTTGTCGAAGCATCCATGGCAGTACGGTTTGTCGTTTTGTTCCTTGAAGGTACCCTTGTTCAGTTGCTTCAAGCAGAAAGAACAGACAAAATGTTCTGGGTGGTATTTCCGAAACATGGCTGTGATGCATCGACCTGTGAAAGTTAGAAAATAATGTCATCGTATACATACTTGTGGCAACTGACCCTAGCTCCAACTATTAATTAAATAGTTTCATATTAAATATATTCAAAACTAGAAATCAAAATTTGTGCACTGTATATACAAAATAAAAACTGACATTAACGATAAAATCATTCATCAAAGTTAATACTGTTTCAGATTATGCTACATACATGGCAAGTGTTAAAACACTGTTTAAAAAAATTACCAGCATTTAAAGGCAAGAATTTAAAATGAGAAATAAGATAATACTCTTAAATTAAACATAAATTGAATTGTAACTCAACAGTAAAAATAATGATGGAGTTATGAACTATGTTAGGTCAACATTACTGATGTGGTTTAACCATTACTCCAGTATCAGTTGTCTGGCAGAAATGTGGTTCAAAACTTCACTCAAAAGGTTAGTATTACTGTATTGTACTACTTAATCTTATTAGCTGTAATTTTAGCATACTAAGAGAAGCTGGCTCTTTACAATTTTTGACAAGCTCAAAATGAGTGACAATATGTGTATGAATATGTATGTATGCATGTATGTGTGTATATATATATATATATATATATATATATATATATATATATATATATATATATATATATATATATATATATATATATATATATATATATATATGTCGTACCTAGTAGCCACAACGCACTTCTCAGCCTACTATGCAAGGCCCGATTTGCCTAATAAGCCAAGTTTTCATGAATTAATTGTTTTTCGACTACCTAACCTACCTAACCTAACCTAACCTAACTTTATCCGCTACCTAACCGAACCTAACCTATAGAGATAGGTTAGATTAGGTTAGGTAGGGTTGCTTAGGTTCGGTCATATATCTACGTTAATTTTAACTCCAATAAAAAAAAATTTACCTTATATATAATGAAATTGGTAGCTTTATCATTTCACAAGAAAAAAATTAGAGAAAATATAATAATTCAGGAAAACTTGGCTTATTAGGCAAATCGGACCTTACATAGTAGGCAGAGAAGTGCGTTCTGGCTACTAGATACGACATTTATATATATATATATATATATATATATATATATATATATATATATATATATATATATGTCGTACCTAGTAGCCAGAACGCACTTCTCGGCCTACTATTCAAGGCCCGATTTGCCTAATAAGCCAAGTTTTCCTGAATTAATATATTTTCTCCAATTTTTTTCTTATGAAATGATAAAGCTACCCATTTCATTATGTATGAGGTCAATTTTTTTTATTGCAGTTTAAATTAACGTAGATATATGACCGAACCTAACCAACCCTACCTAACCTAACCTAACCTATCTTTATAGGTTAGGTTAGGTAGCCAAAAAAGTTAGGTTAGGTTAGATTAGGTAGGTTAGGTAGTCGAAAAACAATTAATTCATGAAAACTTGGCTTATTAGGCAAATCGGGCCGTGCATAGTAGGCTGAGAAGTGCGTTCTGGCTACTAGGTACGACATATATATATATATATATATATATATATATATATATATATATGTCGTACCTAGTAGCCAGAACGCACTTCTCAGCCTACTATGCACGGCCCGATTTGCCTAATAAGCCAAGTTTTCATGAATTAATTGTTTTTCGACTACCTAACCTACCTAATCTAACCTAACCTAACTTTTTTGGCTACCTAACCTAACCTATAAAGATAGGTTAGGTTAGGTTAGGTAGGGTTGGTTAGGTTCGGTCATATATCTACGTTAATTTAAACTGCAATAAAAAAAATTGACCTCATACATAATGAAATGGGTAGCTTTATCATTTCATAAGAAAAAAATTGGAGAAAATATATTAATTCAGGAAAACTTGGCTTATTAGGCAAATCGGGCCTTGAATAGTAGGCCGAGAAGTGCGTTCTGGCTACTAGGTACGACATATATATATATATATATATATATATATATATATATATATATATATATATATATATATATATATATAAAATGTCGTATCTAGTAGCCAGAACGCACTTCTCTGCCTACTATGTAAGGTCCGATTTGCCTAATAAGCCAAGTTTTCCTGAATTATTATATTTTCTCTAATTTTTTTCTTGTGAAATGATAAAGCTACCAATTTCATTATATATAAGGTAAATTTTTTTTATTGGAGTTAAAATTAACGTAGATATATGACCGAACCTAACCAACCCTACCTAACCTAACCTAACCTAACCTATCTCTATAGGTTAGGTTCGGTTAGGTAGCGGATAAAGTTAGGTTAGGTTAGGTAGGTTAGGTAGTCGAAAAACAATTAATTCATGAAAACTTGGCTTATTAGGCAAATCGGGCCTTGCATAGTAGGCTGAGAAGTGCGTTGTGGCTACTAGGTACGACATATATATATATATATATATATATATATATATATATATATATATATATATATATATATATATATATATATATATATATATATATATATATATAATGTTGAATATGACCGAAAAGGTAAGATTAATAATTCTAACCCGAATTTTCTCAATATTTCTTATGTTTTCTTTACTGTCGGTGGTAATAAAAATAACAATTCTCCAAAATTCATTTTTTTAATTGTCTGACGCCTGAACGCGTTTCGTAATTCATATTACATTTTCAAAGACTTAATTTACATGTAAATTACGTCTTTGAAAATGTAATACGAATTACGAAACTTAGAATGATTAATCTTACCTTTTCTGTCATATTCAGCAATATATGTTTACAAGAAAGAGTGTTACCAAAATATACTAATATACTAATATATATATACTAATATATATATACTAATATATATATATATATATATATATATATATATATATATATATATATATTATATATATATATATATATATATATATATATATTTAATATATATATATAATCTGAAAACTCACACCCCAGAACAGACTCGAACCCATACTGCCAGGAGCACTCTGCTGGCGTACAGGATCCCTTAACCACTCGACCAACACGACCGGACAAAAGAGGATGGTAGCCGAGGCTATTTCCATCCCCCCACCGGCACTCGGTTGGTAATCTTGAGCATGGTATTTTATCAAATCGCCTCATTCTTTGGGGCACATGTGAGGAACACAAATGCGAACAAGCCTGAATGGTCCCCAGGACTATATGCAACTGAAAACTCACACCCCAGAAGTGACTCGAACTCATACTGCCAGGAGCAACGCAACTGGTATGTACATACCAGTTGCGTTGCTCCTCCTTGGTAATGTATGTTTTTTTGGCAATCTTTTCCAGAATAGCCCAGTCTTGTCACAATTAAACACTTGTTGTGGTAGGTATGCCTCCCTCTGCACAAAATCTTAAAATTCGCCAATGAATCTTTCAGCTGCTGGTTTGTCTGAGCTGGTAGCCTCCCCATGCCTCACAACACTATGAATTCCACTTCTTTTTCTAAATTTCTCAAACCATCCCCAGATCACCTTAAGCTCTTTCACTTCTGCATCACTAGTTCCAGGGGTTTTCTTTAAAAGGTCTTCATGCAATTTTCTTGCCTTTTCACAAATGATGAAAAGAAACGCTATCACCCGCTAACTCCTTGTTGTGTATCCAAATTAATAATAACTGTTCAACATCCTCAAGTGTTTGTGTTCTATGTTTCGTGATTATTGATACACCTTTTGCTACTTTAGCACTCATAATGTCCTTTTTCTTAGTCAGTATGGTGGATATCGTTGACTGAGATTTGCTGTACTGCCTAGCCAGTTCAACAACCCGCACACCATCTTCATATTTACGAATGATCTCTTGTTTCTGCTCTATGGTCATTCTTTCATGGGATCTCATATGTTGAGCCATACCACTGACTTCCCTGGGACTCATGGCGTGATATATAATAATTACTTTAATGTTCAAAATGCAAAAAATCACCACAAAAGCGGAATTTCTTATAGACGCGATCGTCACCAAGTGGGCAGCTGTAGTAAACTGAGGCAGGTCGGCCGCGTGACCGGGAACCACGCACTCGGTCAACCCGATCGTGTACCAACAAATATCGGAAGTCGACGACACCATCGGATGTCGAGTCACATTTTTCGATGAAATTTATATCGTAACTCGAAATTATCGTAAGTAAGAGCAATCGTATGTCGAGGTGCCACTGTATATATTATATATTTTATATATATATTTATATATATATATATATATATATATATATATATATATATATGTATATATATATATATATATATATATATATATATATATATATATATATATATATATATATATATATAATGTCGTACCTTGTAGCCAGAACGCACTTCTCAGCCTACTATGCAAGGCCCGATTTGCCTAATAAGCCAAGTTTTCATGAATTAATTGTTTTTCGACTACCTAACCTACCTAACCTAACCTAACTTTTTCGGCTACCTAACCTAACCTAACCTATAAAGATAGGTTAGGTTAGGTTAGGTAGGGTTGGTTAGGTTCGGTCATATATCTACGTTAATTTTAACTCCAATAAAAAAAAATTGACCTCATACATAATGAAATGGGTAGTTTTATCATTTCATAAGAAAAAAATTAGAGAAAATATATTAATTCAGGAAAACTTGGCTTATTAGGCAAATCGGACCTTGCATAGTAGGCTGAGAAGTGCGTTCTGGCTACTAGGTACGACATATATATATATATATATATATATATATATATATATACAGTATATATATATATATTGGTGGAGGCATCTTCTGGTATATGTGGCGCACTTCCCCGACTGTGAGGCCATCGGGGTCGATGCCTTTCGGCTGAACAAATCGAGGTGGGGTTACCTATACCTCTTTCCCAGTGGTATGCATACGCTTTGCAGGTATACCATTAGGACCTGGTTGTGGCTCACTGCTTGCTTGTCTTATTAAGAATCTGTCTAAAGACACTTGTTTTTCCCTACATTTTAATACTTGTCTATAGTGAGACATCACCATGTCATTAAAAAGGTCATTGCAATGCCCTGCTACAGTTTTATCTGGGCTAGTCTTTTCAGCAAAACTTTGCAGTTCTTCCCATACTTCACACATTTTCTTAACAAGAAAGGGACATCCTCTACTGCCTCTACTCACAACTATTTTCTTAGGTCTTAGGTTGAACTTTACCACTGACTTTCTTGGGACCCATGGTGTGATATATAATAATTACTTTTATGTTCAAAAACCAAAAGAGCTCAAACACAATTAACTTGTTTACAAAGAGTATAAACGCAATTGTCACTAGGTGGGAGACACTGGTAAACTGAAGCGCGCCTCGCCCGTGCCACAAGGAACCACATGCTCAGTTGACCCATACGTATATCAACAAACTCACTAAGCGAGGCAAAGTTCATATACCGAGCCAAATTTTACGAAGAACTTGAGCTCGTAAACTGAAAAATTCGTAAAGAGGGGAATTCATCAACCAAGGTTCCACTGTATAATGTTAGCAAATTAAATGTTTGTAAGCCATGCTTGACCCCTGATATTAGAAGTACTTTCTATAATAAACAATAGTAATGAGCAAGATGATTGAATGAGATCCTCTATTGAAAGAAAAAAGAGAGAGAGAGAGAGAGAGAGAGAGAGAGAGAGAGAGAGAGAGAGAGAGAGAGAGAGAGAGAGAGAGAGAGAGAGAGAGAGAGAGAGAGAGAGAGAGAGAGAGAGAGAGAGAGAGAGAGAGTGAGTGAGTGAGTGAGTGAATGAGAGTGTGTGTGTGCGCATCAAAGCATAAAGGTGTGGTTGCTACTCACCAGTAATAGGCTTGCTGCAGCCTGCACACAGGGATCCCCTCTTGGCATGGTAGTGGGTCTCGCAGTATGGCATACCCTCGTGGTCGAAGAATGACCCTCCGTTGAATGGTTGCCGGCAGTCCTGCAAAAATAAGATATTAATCTGCTTGGCTCATGACATGCAAAATGTGAAAGTAAAGTGGCATTTTCTGAATATCATATTGAAACACAGCATGTTTATAGAACAAACACTCTTTATACAAAAAGAAATATCTGCATTAAATATTAACAATTATAATGTTAGTTGCTTCCTTGAAGCCTGGAATGAAGAAATTACTTTTTTGTCTACAGGGTGAGAGGAGAACAGGAAGCCTGTGAAATGGTAAATAAAAGCAAACCAGCAAAATTATTAGAGGAGGAATGAAAGACCATGGGAGTGGGAACATGTTCCTGAAAATTGTTCTCAAAAATAAAACCAAAAAATACCTAATTTTATCTTCAAAGTTTCCTACCTAGTGCTTTAAAACTTCGCACTGTATCTAATGCTACCCAATCCCCCAATATATGTACCTAAGCCATACAACTTTACCATTGTATTCATTGCTATCACCTTATATCTTGGTTGTCATATTGAATGCATTTTTTTACTACATTATACCTTTAAATAATCCTCAAATTATGCTACAATGCACTTGTTGATAACTCTCAAATTTTACTTTAATGTACCTACTAATCTTTGTCAAATTTTCTTACAATGTACCTGTAAACATTTTTTCAATTTTGCTAGAAATTACCAAAATTAAAATTATCTGTTAGATTAAGGACCTGCTCCCTGGCGAGCAGACACACGGACCGACTGGGAGCTCAAACCAGCCAGTCGTCGAGGTAAGCCAACACCCGAACATCTAACAGACGCAGGCGGGTCACCACAACTGAAGAGAAGTACTGAACCTAGGCACAGTACAAAAAGAATCTGGAGCTGGAGCCACAACGACCAAGCCTTATCCTGTCAGCCGTGGAACTGAGGTGTGGATTGCTGGCGCGGGGGTCTGGGCCTCCCCCTTCCTCCTCTCGGGAAGGGGGGAGCTGCACAGACATGCAGCACGGCTCGTGTGATGTCTTGCTTGTTTGCTCATTTTCCCTTGGGGGAGTTCTGTCCACTTGTTTCGTTATTTTCGTTGGTTTCACCAGAATAGGGGTTTGTTTTGAGGCGCTTACCTTTCTGGGTGCCTGTCCCAGTCGATGGCAGATATAGAATGCTCCAAAATCACATGTGCATTTCTATAGGCCATTGCTCCTTGTGCCTCTCTGAGGGGGCCAGGTTCTGGCCAGGGTCCCCAGTAGGCCTAGAATTCCGCCCACATCAACTGATGCCAAACGTTAGGACTATCCCTATCAGCCTAGATAGTTCCGGGAAGCAGTAAGGGCTTCTCCCAGAAAAAGTGATAAAACAAATGGCATATGACATCGGCTTCACTCTAAGGGTTAAGGATGTCGCTGGGATATTTGGACATCCACTAGGCACTGGGATATCTCTGTAGGATATTTAGGGTCTGTACTGCAGGTGTCTTGCAATCCTTGATGAATATGGAATTTTATTGGCACCTTCAACTGAGTGAATGGGTATATTGTTGATGGCTTCTTCAATGCCAAGTGGGGTTAGGGTCACATCTGAGATGCGAGTTGAAATTAGTTGTCAATCTTCAGCGTGTTTAGGGAATTACTAAAAATGAGTTGTACTTTATTCATAGTATTTTGTTCATTTCTTTGTTGTCATAAGTGAATTTTATTTTTCCTTACACAAGAACCCAATTTAAAAAGTGATTTTTGCTTTCTATCTTAGGTGGGGTCTGCTGATTTCATAGGATGATCCATAGATGTGTGGGTAGATGTTACTACTGCTTGGCTTAGACTCAGCTATAAGTATTTCTCAGAATTTTCATTGCCTGCTGATGTAGACCTGACCAAATGTAAACTGTATCAACAAAAGTCCAAGTGTTTTTCCCACACCTTGTCTAAAATGTTGTGTGTGTATTAGTGGCTTTAGGTACTAGCTCTATTTAGAAATCCAACATTCTGTTTGCACCTCATTTTGAATGTATGTACTTTTACCTAAATAAACATTATTATTATTATCATTATTATAAAATTATTTGCACACCCTCTGTCATTATATGATTGAGTGCGAAAAGATATGTGGATTCGCAGAGACAATTATATAACAAATGTTCAAGAGAAGAAGCAAAAAATCAATACGTTGCTGGTAATAACCTAAGTTCTGCCTGGGACTGTATGCATGTTAGTGGCTTCACAAGAATGTAAAAACATCAATGCTATGTACTGTACTCTCATAAACCCAATGTACTTCTTGTATATATAAAAAAATAAATAAGTGTAATTTCCTAAGTGTAGTTACAGGATGAATGCTATACTCATGGTGTCCTATTTTCCCAGCACTCTTTATCATATAGCGCTTTGAAACTATGTACTGTATAGATGGTTTTAGCCTCCACCACCTTCTCACCTAACTTGTTCCAACCGTCTACCACTCTGTGAAAGTGAATTTTTTTTATATTTCTCCAGCAGTTTTGTTTAGTTAGTTTAAACATGCCCTCTTGTTCTTGAAGTACTGTACCATGTCTTAGGAATTCTTCCCTATCAATTTTGTTGATACCCGTTACTATTTTGTATGTAGAGATGAAATCACCTATTTCTTCTATCTTCAAGTTTTGGCATACTTAATGCCTCTAACCTCTTCTTGTACCTCTTGTCCTTCAGTTTCGGGAGCCATTTAAATAAATAAATATATAAATATATGTTTATTTAGGCATTTATTTATTTAGGTTTATTTTTAGGTATTTATTTAGATTTATTTTTAGGTATTTATTTATTTAGGTTTATTTTTAGGTATTTATTTATTTAGTTGCATGTCTTTGCACCTTACCCAGATTGCTGATGTGCGTCTTAAGATATGGGCACCATACAACCGCTGCATATTCCAGCTTTGGTCTCACAAAGGTTATGAACAATTTCTTTAGTCTTTCATTATCTATGTATTTAATCTAAAATTGAAAAGTGTAGCATAGGCTCCTCACATGATGTTCTTTATGTGGTCCTCAGGTGATAGTTTTCTGTCTAAATCCAGCCCTGGATCTCTTTATCAGAATTATTTAACGTTTTTTTTACATAATTTGTAGGTTGTGTGTGAAATATTTTCTTCTATATTCATTCCCTAACATGGCATTTATACAGAGAGTAATCACACTAATGTGAAAGTTCCATTTTGCCAAGTGGTGCTCCATACACTTATTTTTGTCCAGGTCTTCTTAAGGGGCATGATAGTCATCCAAGTTTCTTATCTTCCCTAGTATCTTAGCATCATCTGCAATCATATTCATATAATTCTGTTCCTTTTGGTAGGTTATTTATATAGACAAACATTACTGGTGTAAAAACTGAACCCTGTAGTACTTCACTTGTGACATTTCTCCCGTTGTCTTTGGAACATTGCCTCTAATTACTTCCCTCATTTTTCTGTCAATTAGAAAGTTTTTAATTCATATTAATAGCCTCCCTGTCACTCCTCCAGTATGTTCCAGTTTCTAGAACAACCTCTTATGTGGAACTCTGTTGAAAGCCTAATTTAAGTCCAAATAGATGCAGTCAACCCAACCATCTCTTTCCTGTAAAATCTGTGGTTCTATCATAGAAACTGAGTAAATTCGTTACACAAGATCTTCCAGATTGAAAACCATACTCTGTCTGTCTGTTATTATATAATTTTTCTCCAGATGTTCTTCCCATTTAGTTTTAATTATTTTTTCCAATATTTTGACTGTTACACTTGTCAATGACAAAGGTCTATAACTGAGGGGATTTTCCCTGCTGCCACTTTTGTAGATTGGAAAAATGTTAGCCTTTTTCCACATATCTGCTAGGACTCCTGTACACAGGGATACCTGAAAAATTAAATGAAGTGGAATGCTGAGCTCAGGTGCTCATTCTACCAAAAGCCAAGGTAAAACTTCATTGGGGTTAACTGCTTTATTCTTACTGTACTAAGCTCCTTGAGCCTTTTTTTTCCCACTCCATCTCTAGACACCTTTATGTGCATTATGTGGTTCTTGAGTTCTTATTATGTCTGATTCTCTGAAGATTTCATTTTGCACACACACACTTTGGAACATGTGTGTGTTTTGAAACATTTAATGTCTCACATATTTCCTTTTCATTTTCTATGAATATTTTTGGTATTTTCAACCTCTGACTATTATCCTTTACCTGCAATTTGCTTTTGATGAATTTATAGAATAGACCTGGTTCTGTTTTACATTTGTCTGCTATCACTTTCTCAAAATTTCTTTTTGCCATTCTCCTCACTGCCATGTAGTTGTTTTATGCTTCTTTTTATTGGTGGTATGTTTGAGGGGTTGGCCTCTTCCTACATTAATTTCATTTTTATATCTTTTGGTCTCTGGCCCTCCTGCAATTTATGTTGAACCAATCCTAATTCCTAGTTCTGCATCACTTTTTTGGTATAAATTTTGTTGCGCCTTTATTATATATTTAACAAAACATTTATTTCCTTGGCCAATAGTAAGTCTTTCCAATCAAATTCCTTAAAGAATTTGTTAAGTTCCCCAAAGTGTCGTCTCCTGAAATCAGGAGAGAAAATTCAGTACCAAGGGGGGAAATGTACTGAATGTCAAATACCTCTTCCTCTTTCCTGATGAATATCAAATCCGGCATGGAAGGAACATTCCCTTCCTTTATCCTCGAAGCACGTTTAACATGTTGATATATTAATGTCTCCAGGATAAGGTTTACGAATCTAGAAGTCCAAAAGTCCTTCCATTCTAGCTTCATAGGCCCTCTCAGTCAATGGATTTCAAGTTGAAGTCGCTGCCTACCAACAGCCATGATCTATCTTTATCCGTTCTTGCTATATCTCTCTCATGATTGTTATGAGGCCCTCTAGTTTATTGTCCAGTTCCTCCTTTGTTCATATGTTGCATGATGATGGACTGCATGCATTATGATTATCAGTTCATCATCCTGCTTGCAAATCTCCGGTGTTATAATGTCAACTTCTCGTGGATTGACAATCATTATTACATTTACCTATAGGTGTTCTTTCACCAG